AGGGAACTGACTCTACCCTAGATCTCCATTGCTTGCAACAGGAAGACACCCAACCCAGCCTAACTGGTGACACTTGCATTTAGACATATATTGGTCTGGGTCTTAACATGGAGCTGAATCCCATTCCAGATCCAACTAGGGGGATGTGCACTTGGAAATTTGGTTTGTTGTTCAGTGCTGAGTGGAGCAGTGTTTGGGAAATACTGACCTGAAAGAGGGCAATGGGCAGCCTGTGAACATCCCAATCCCCTTTCTACCTTCCGGGGTCCATGGCCCAATTGATGAAGATTTACTCCCCAGTTAACACTGATGCAGAGGGGTAGGGCACACTTTCAAGCCTTCCCCACACAATTTCTGGAGCTCAGCATTCATTAGCATCATGCTGTGATGTCCAAGTTAGGACTGGCTGACAGACACATGACCCACAATTGGATTTCTCATCCCAGCCCCAGTCTGGAGAATAAACACATCCACCAGGAGAGAGGATTGTCACAAAATACAAATGCAAAGAGGCCACGTAAATGCTCAACTCCCCTGGCACATTTCAGCTGTGAAATACGTGCATGGAGAATATGTGCATCCAGGTGGAGATCCTTCAGTCTCCTTGCCCATTAGCTTCATGGTGATGGCATAAGAGGCGAGAATAATGTGCATCAGGGGAAAAAAAACCATGATCTCTGATCTGTCCCAGTAACAGAACAAGCACAAACACCACCACAACCCCTCACACACAGTGTTTAACTGGTAGAACTGAGCTGGATAATGTTGTCCTTGGCATGGTACAGGTCAGTACCTGAAGCAGCCAACCCCATCCTGAGCCCTAAGGGTAGCACTGATAGGGAAATAAAATGTTGCAAACAGGCTTAAAAACCTCCCTTTACACAGCACAGCCTCTTGGGGTCACGCAGGGAGGGGTGTAAACATGAGTTACCTGAGCACACAACGCCTGTGTCTTCTCCATGATTGCAGTTACGCTTTCCCCAGGGTCTGGTCCTGCAGGCACAAAGGTCAGCTTCTGTACTGGTGCAGTTCATGTCATCCAGCCAGATCTGACCGGTTCCTTGACTGAAGAAAGCCGAGCCAGGGGCTGACAGTGCTTCCCCACAGTCCAGCTGCTTGCATACAACCATGGCATCGGACAGATCCCAGCTATCATCACACACAGTTCCCCACTGCTGTTCCCAAAACACCTCGAGCCGCCCCATGCAGCGGCTGGAGCCATTCACAAGTCTGATGGGAGCTGAGTAGGTAACACCTGAATCCCAAAACAAGCCAAGGTAGCAAATGGCCAAGAGCCAGGTTTTGGCTGATAGTGGAGAACATAATACCTTGTTCTTGTAGGAATAATGCCATTTTGGGTCTGTCTAGGGAAGGAGAGCTGAAATGCTCACCACTTTTTTTTTTTTTTTTTTTCCAGCAGGAACTTTATAAGAAAAGCTTGCTGGCTAATTAGTAGTGTATACCTGATCTCCTTTTATGACCTGGTGACCCGCCTGGTGGATGAAGGAAAGGCTGTGGATGTCATTTACCTGGACTTTAGCAAAACCTTTGACACAGTCTCCCATAATATTCTCCTAAGGAAGCTGGCAGCTCATGGCTTGGACAGTCGTAGTCTTCACTGGGTAAAAAACTGGCTGGGTGGCCGAGC